AGCAGTGGAGAAGAGTTCCTATTTCTCCACAGCCTTGCCAGCATTTGTTATTGGTTGATTTCTTAATGCTAGCCATTCTTACTGAGGTGAGGTGAAATCTCAGTGTTGTTTTAATTTGCATTTCTCAAATGACTAATGATGTTGAACATTTTCTCATGTATTTACTTGCCGTTTGTATTTCTTTATCTGAGAAGTGTTTTTTTATCTCAGCTGCCCATTTTTGGATTGGGTCTTTGAATTTGGGGGACTGGCGTTTTTTAATTCTTCTAGATAGAAGACCTTTGTCAGAGGGACAGTCAGCTAAAATTTTTTCCCAATTTGTAGGTTTTCTTTTTACTCTGCTGGTGATTTCTTCAGATGTGCAGAAACTTTTCAGTAGGATAAGATCCCAGTTGTTGATTCTTTGAAGTATTTCACGTGCAGTTTGGTTTTTGTTCATGAACTCTCTGCGTACCCCTATGTCTTCAAGATTTTTACCTACTTTCTCTTCCAGTAGATTTAGTGTTTCTGTTTTAATATTGAGATCTGTGATCCATTTTGACTTGAGTTTGGTTCATGGTGATAGACTTGGGTCTATTTTCATTCTCTGGCAGGTGGCAAGCCAATTTTTCCAGCACCATTTATTAAAGAGGCAGACACACAAGTTTAAATATCATGTGGTTTCTCTTATATGAGAAACCCAAGTGTAAATAAAGAGGAAAATAAAAAATAATAGGAAGTAGTGAGATATTTTTCAAATGGGAAGGGGAACAAGAGATGGAGGGAAGGGTTGGGGATATAGCTCAGCACTACAAGTGCCTGCCTGGCAAGTACAAGATCCTGAGTTAGATTCTGGTACACACACACACAAAAACAAAAAAAAGAGAGGGAGGGAGGGGAAGGAAAAGGGATGTGGAAGGAAAGGATTGAAAGAAAAAGATGGAAAAAAGAGCTTTTGCTAGTGGGAAGATGACCAAGAGATGAAAGGAGTAGGGAAGGATGGAAGGGATAGGGGACAAGAAAAGAATTAAAATGTGTAATGCACATGTTCCAACTCCCCCCAGAAGTGTAATCCTCATGTACTGCAAACATGTACTAATCAAAAAAGTCAATCATGCAACCAACCACACTAATAAGCAAAAAAACTATATAATCATTTCAGCAGATGGGACAAACCATATATATATATATAAAACTTTATATATATAATTTTATATATATAATTTTATGTATATAATTATATATATAATTTTATACATACCAAACCATATATATATAATTTTTAAAAAGAAACACTTAGAAAATAAGAATTTGGCTCAACTTGAAAAAGAGCAGTCAAAAAAAAAAAAAACGCTAACACCATACATGATCATGATGAAAGACTGAGTGCTTTACCCCTAAGAACAGGCAACTTACTACTCAACATATTTTAGCAACCCTAGCCAGGGCAATAAGGCAAGAAAATCAAATAAAATGCACAAAGATTGCAAAGGAAGACATAAAACTTCATTTGTGGATGTTAGGATGGTCTTCAGAGATAATCCAAAATCTACTGCTTTTTATTTATTTTTTTTTTTAATTTTTTTTAATTTTTTTTTGGTTTTGGTTTTTCTCCGGTACCGGGAACCGAACTCATGACCTTGCGCTTGCCAGGCAGGCGCTTTTGCCACTGAGCTAAATCCCCAGCCCCTCTACTGCTTTTTAAAGCCATTAAAACTAGTAAGCCTAGTTCCAGTGGATACAGATCAACTGCATTTCAATAGCCTAACAATTAGTAATGGAAAATTTTAGAATACCACTTATAATGATTAAAAAATTAAACTATTTACAGACAAATTCAGTTAAAATAAGTGGAGAGAGAGGATGTATTAAATGAAAGGTACTATTTCTCAAGATAAATGTACAGATCCACTATGATATTAATCAAAATCTCAGTAGACTTTTGTTGTGATTTTATAATAAGTCTTGAAAACAGGTAATGTCAGTCTTCTGAGCTCTTTTTTAGAGATGCTTTAGCTATCTCAGTATATTTAGAATCAATTTGTCAATTGTGGAGAATTAACTCTTCACAGCATTAAGCCTGCTAATCTATAATCTTTATTGGACTTTCTTTTTTAACTTCTTTCTCTTTTTTGTTAGTGTACATTTAGATTTTCTTTAATCATCTCAGTATATTTTATATTTTTAGGAGCCTTGCATCTCTTTTCTCATGTGTGATACTATGTCATTGACTATATATACAACGTACCACGTTAATTCATTAAATAAAAGTCCTTAAACAGCTGGTTAGGATCAATCAAGTATCAGTTAGGAAACAATAAATCTTCACCCTCTCCTTTGATCATATACAAAATTACATGAAGTGTGCATATATAGACCTAAAACTAAGACTTAAAACTATAATCCATCTAGAAGAGAAAATAGAAAATTCTGTGACATTAGTTTTATTATTTACGTATTTTGTGCTACTGAGGAGTGAGCCAGAGCCTTGCAGATGCTACACAAGTGCTCCACCACTAAGCAACACTTCCAGCCCTTTATTATTATTTTTTGAATTTGAAACAAGGTCTCTTGCTAAGTTGCCCTAGCCTTCAACTTGCAATCCTCCTGCCTCAGCTTTCCAAGTAGCTAGGATTATAGGCTGTGCTATCACACTCAGTGTGACATTAGTTTTAGAAATTTTTAGTTACCACACTATTGTCTGAATGTTTTGGTTCCCCCAAGTTAGTACATAGAAATACTAATGCCCAGGGTGTGATATAGGAAGGATACTGGTGGTCTGTGGGAGGTGATTAGCTCAGGACTGTGGGGCCCTCACAAGTAGAATCAATACTCGTATTTTTTTTTGGTGGCGGGGGGGACAGGGTCTCATTATGCAGTCCAGGCTGGCCTCGAACTCATGGTTATTCTCCTGCCTCAGCTGCCCAGGTGCTAGGATTACAGGTGTGTGCTACCATGCCTGGCCAGTTGATGCTCTTATAAAGAGGTTTGAGAGGCTCATGAGCCACTTCCACCATGCAGGGACAGTAGCCCCCACCAGACACCACATCTGCCAGCACCTAGGGCTTGGGTTTCCTGGCCTCCAGGGCCTTAGGATGCACACTTTTTATAAGCTGCCTACAGTGTTTTGTTATAGCAGCTCATAAGTGCCAAGCAGACACAAAAAATACTAGCCTTTAATAAATGATAAATTAGACTTTATGAAAAAAATCTTTTTAGAGAAATTAAAAGCAAGCCACAGACTGAAAATCTTTTCAAAACATGTACAGTATCTGATAAAGGCTTGTATACTGATTATAGGAGGAAATCTTATAAATTAGAAAGTAACAAGGACGAACAATTCATTGGTAATGAAACTTCTTTAATTGATGCAGTTGATTTCTATTGTTTTTTTTTTCTTTTTTTCTTTTTTCTTGTAGTTTTTTGAGATAGGTTCTCACTATGTGGTGCAAATTGGCCTTGAACTCAGTGATCCTCCTGCCCCAGCCTCCCAAGTATTGGGGAAGGAGGCGTGACACCATGCCCACCTACAATTTTAAGAAACATACCTTGGGGAAGCCTATTTCCAGCTTCCCCCACGGTTGCAAAGCCACAGCCAGGATACTGGCAATGGTCAGTGCAGAGCACTTATCCTCAGACACTCCCGTGTTTTCCTGGGACTCCTGCTTTGTTCATTACAGAACTGTGTGCTCTCTGTGCCTTCCACACATGTCTTTCAGGAACTGTTTAAAACGAATCTTTGTTCTTTGTTCTACTTTCATGGGAGAATTCCTTGGCCTTAGCTCCAAACCGCTTTTTCATTTCAGCTGTATCTGCTCCGCTATGTGATTGACTAAAGTTCGTATTTTGGCAACATTTGGTATTTTCTAAACCCGAGTCTAACTATTTTTAAAGTAATCCATCCCTGGGGGCTGGGGATTTAGCTCCCGGCACAGTGCCTGCCTGGCAAGCACAACGTCATGAGTTCGATTCCCGGTACCAGAAAAAAATCAAAAAAATAATAAATAAATAAATAAATAAATAAATAAATAAATAAAATAAAGTAATCCATCCCTGTGTTGTAGTAGTGGTGCCCTCCTTGCCCTCTGAAGTTACCAGAGCTGATGCACAGTGTCCGTTTGTCCTGTGAGCTCACCGCATTTCCCAGGCAGGTCCCAGCCTGCAGTCTGAAGCCCTTTCTTGTGCACTTGGTCTTCACTGGCTGGGCAATCGGATGGTGTCACCCTCTTCCTACCAGAGCCCAGTGGCCTGTCTGCAGGCTTCCGGTGAGGAGGCAGCAGCATGTGCGCGGCTGTGTCCATCCACCATGCAGCTTAAGGTTCCCTGCCCAGTCCTGGATGCCTGTCGCATCCTTCCAGGCATTGCCATCACAGCTGCAGTCAGCACCCACCATGCACTCCCAGAAAAGCTCACTCTGCAGGCAGAAGCCAAGTCCAAACCCACCACTCCCCTGGTGTGTGACCTTGGGCAGGTAACCTTGTATGAACCTTGGTTTCCTCACTCAAAACCCCGGTGAAGGCTGAAGAGCCTTTGGTCACGCATACCAGTCATCCAGCAGAGGGTCTAGGGTGCGGCGGGCACCCTACCCACTGGGCCATAATTTTTTTACTTTGTTTTCACTTAGCACATCTCTGCAGTCAGATTGCAAGTGTGCCCAAAGAGCTCTGTTTGAGGCTGAGGCACGAATGCCCCGCCCCAGGCTGGCTACTTCTCTAGGCTGCTCCCATACCAGCCCTGTGGGTGGACCTGGGTCACTTCCTCCTCCAGGGAGCCATCCTTGACTGCCACAACCCAGCAGGACTCCGAGTTAGAGGAGCCCCTCTCCCCAGAACACAGCACAGAGGAAGTGCTCTAGGATGCAGACAGACAGACAGACCAATTCTGCCCTGTGCTGCAGCCTCCCAGAAGCAGAGTCCAAGCCCAAGGGAAGACAGCCCGATCTCTGCCTGATCCACCTGTTCCCACCCCACCCTCCCACATGGCTGTCCTCCAACTCCAAAACATGATATGAGGACAGCAAGTCTCTCTTAGCATCTTTTTTATTTCTCTGCATTTAGTTTTTACTTTGGTTACCTCGGAGCCATGTCCCGCAGGACACGTCTGAGAAGGGCACAGTGGCTGCACTGCAGCCCTACTTCTAAGAGCTCACAGGACAGCTTACCCCTGGTAAACAGATAAACGCACATAGGGTGAGCAGCAGCCAAGCCAGACAGTACGGGAGTGGGCAACGGCACAGGGTTCCGGGGGGCCACGAACATCACAGACACAGAAGCCCCATGTCACGTCTAGAAGGGACCAGGTGCTGGGGGCCACAGGATCTGTACCTCCCCATCAGAGCCTTCCGATGTCTCAGTCCTGACAGTGACACAGACACACAGGACAAAGCCGGCCTGATACGGAGACCAGTGGTGCGACATGTCCTGGGGCCTCCTGAGCTCCCAGCTCAAGAACCAGGCCAGCCTCGCCCACTCTAAAACGTCTTTCCCTCGAAGGCCTGGAGATCAAAGGCAGTGTCCAGAAACTTCCTCAGTGACACCAGGTGAGCGTTCCTGTTGCCTGTGGCTGGTGCAGCTGCAGGCTCTCGGCCAACGTACCTGAGGAGGGTGAGGGCAGCGCCAGAAGGATGCTCAGCACAAACCTGCCTGCCTGCCTGGGCACCAGCCACAGGACAGGAGGAGAAACCAACCCCCACCAAGGTCACTGGACTCACCCACGAGGACAACAGAGGAGGCCACAATCCCCTGCCATCTTCCCAAGGACAAACGGAGTGATAAGGGGCAGTGAGAAGCTACCACACCCCCTACGCCTGGGTGGGCTGGTCTCCTCCAGCCCAATCCTATTATCCCAGAGAGAGCCTAGGGCTTTGAGAGCCCACATATGGGGTTTAGACCAAGGGAGGAGGCTTAAGACAGACAGCAGGTTGTATAGTTCAGCTCTGGCTGAGGTACAAACCAAAGGCTGGCTTCCCTCCCCCTCCCTCCCGTCTCCTCCCCTCTGTGGGCCAGGGGAGGCAAAGGCCCACGTCCATACCATATGGGCCGGGTTCGGCCAAGGATGGTCATGAAGCGTGGGCTGATGTAGTCATAGTAGCCCATGTTCTTGTGCTCCTCCTGACACCACACCAGCTCGGCGCCTGGGAACCGCTCTGCCTCTCGCTTGATCAGGTCAAAGGGGAATGGGGAGATCTGGGGGTTGGAAGAGGGGTGTGGTGGAGGCAGGTGGTGCACCTAGGCTCCGACAGCCCAGCTCAGCCCAGCTGGCACACTGCCCACAGGCCCGGCTATCCCCACAGCTCCAACCCCAAGAGGGCCTGGCACACCTGCTCCAGGCGTGTGAGGGCCACCTGCCCGTCCAGGCCCTGGCTGCTTCGCTCCTTCACCAGGTCATAGTACACCTTTCCTGTGCAGAAGATGAGGCGGCGCACCTGCCCCGGAGCCTGTGCTGCCTTCCCGTCCTCTGGGATCACCCGCTGGAAGCTGGTCCCTGGGAGACCAATGGGGCACAGTGGGTGGGGACAGCAGCACAGAGGAGTATGGGCCGCAGGCTCTCTCTGGGTGTGGTGACTAACCAGGTTTGGGTCCCAAAAGATGGAGCAAGAGAGATGGATGGCACCCTGAGATGTCACAGGGATGGGTGGAGAAGGGGCCCGGGGCAGAGCCCTGGCAGTGCTGTTTTGGTGCTGGGTTTTGGGAGTGTGATGGGGAGGCCCCTGAAGAGCAGGGTTGGGGCATGGTGCACCGTTATGGCGCCGTCTGCCACAAGCCTGCTCCCTCCAGCTGCACCATCTCCCGCAGGACCTCCCAGCTCCTGTTCAGCAGGCGGGAGGCTGAACAGCTGCCTGGGTGGACACTGAGCTCCCTCCCCTCGCTGCTGCCACAGCCAGGCCACTTTCCTTTCCTGAGGGCACACTGTGTGCCAGGTCCAACATGCTGCCAACCCTCTGGGGAAGCAACTGCAGTGTCCCCTGCTGCACCCAGGGAGGACTCCACAGCGAAGGGCACCTGGCTGCCAGGCCCCAGGAGAGGAGCCAGTACCAGCCGGTCAGCCCAACCTCTGAACTCTGAACTGCCTCATTCAGCTACCTTCCCCTATAAGAGGGGACAGACAGACACACACAGGCGAAAAGCAAATGCCTGTCCACACTGCCGAGGTCCCTCCTGCCTGGCCCTGCCCTCCCCATCTGACCTTCCCTGTCCTCCTGTTACCCTGGGGACCCACTGCCTGTCCTTCAGACTCTCCCTGAGCCATACCTCCAGTTCAACACCTGGTCCTCCGGGGCTTCATCTGATCCCCCAGCCCCAGGTCAAGAAGGTCGAGAGCTCCCACAGGGAACAAGTCACTAGGGCCAGCAAAGTCTGCTTGGCTCACAAGTGAAGGAAATGGATGAATGGGTGACTGATGAGCAAGAGGACAGAGGATACTCAGGCCCAGTGACTGGTAGCACAGCCGGTCTCTTGGCCCTGGGCACACCTGGCCCTAGTATGGCTGAAGGTCAAGCACTCTCCTTGTTCCAAGTGACCTGAGGTGGCCACCATGCTAACCTCCTCCCAGTGTGGCTCATGGGGACTGGGCCGGGGGCTGTCCTGGGGTTCACAGAGCCTGAGACAGAGGGGAAGATGGGGAGCCGCAGACACAGAAGCTGCAGCACAGGCCACAGGGTCCCAAAGGGCCACATCCCCAGTGCAGGTGCCCAAGTTGCCTGGGCAGGCACGCACCAGACACCATCTGGTCAAAGCTGGACTTGGCCTCCGGATGCCTCAGCAGGGACTTGGGTGTGAAGATGATCAGCTGCAAGGGAAACACACGCCTGGCTGCCAGCGGCCCCCGCCCATGCAGTCCCTACCTTCTACCTGCACCTCAGAGCACTGTGGGTGGACAGGCAGGTAGGCGGGCACTCACTGGCTTGCGGAAGGGCAGCAAGATCTGCCGGCGCAGCACGTGGAAGTAGCTGGCTGGTGTGGAGCAGTTCACTACAATCCAGTTGCAGTCATAGAGCTGGCTCACCTCGAAGTCCTCGGTGAAGACCTGAGGGGCGGGGCAGCTGGAGTGGCCGCTGCCACTCATGTGTAGGCTGCTGTGCAGCCAGGTGGTGGGGTGTGCCCCGCCTGGGGTCCCAGCCAGCCACACTCACAGGGTAGGCGTCCGAGTCGTCATTGCTCATCTGCAGGAATCGCTCGGGCCGTGCTGACGAGTGCTCCGGGCCCTATGAGCAAATGCAAGATGGCCCAGGGTACCGGCACAGGACAAAGCCCTAGACATCACGGACCCCAGGCTGGGGGTCTCTGGCTGGTTTCTTAGGGATGGAGCCCTCACTTGGAGCCCAAGTCACAGGAAGTACCAGGAATGTGGGACAGGAGCCAGCAGGAAGAGGTAAAAAGGCTACATGGGCCACTCACTGTCCAGAACAGCTTGGGAAAGTGGCCACCACCATAACCAAGCACCTGCGGGGGGACCCAGAGGTGCCACTCATGCATCCTGAACGCAGGGAGGGTCTGATTCCCTCCATGCTCAGGTGAGGTGTGGGGGTGAGGCGGAATACACAGAGGCCACCCAGCCCCCAGCCTGCCTGTGCCTGCTGGGGCTGAGGGACCCCCTCCACTCCAGACATGCCAGCACTCATCCTGGGCAGCTCACCATGCCCTCCATGCCGTGGGGCAGCAGCAGCACGATGCCGTTGTGCCGCACCCACTTGGCCTGGCCTGTGCTGATGAACTGGTCGATGATGCACTGGGCTGTGTTGTGGAAGTCGCCAAACTGAGCCTCCCAGAGGACTAGGGCATTGGGGCTGGCCATGGCGTAGCCCAGCTCAAAGCCTGGACAGGAGACATGGGGGCAGAGGCTCTAGCCAAGCCTGCCCTTCCTCAGCGTGGTGGCCCAGCCAGCATCCTTCCCAGAGCGCCAGGACGCATCCAGGGACTGCTTCTTCCTGAGATGCCCCCCTCGGCCCTCATCAGATGTGGTCGGGTTCAGCCTCACCGAGCCCAGAGCTAATCTTAAAGACACCTTGTAGAGGCACAGGGACCACGTGCCAGGAGGAGCCCCCAAACCATGTGCAGAACTGCCAAGACAGGAGGGAGAGGCCCCAAGGGACAGGACAGGGGACTCAGTAAGAGGCAGTGGGAGGGGGTGCTCAGATGATGACTGAGTCAAGGTCATCCGACAGGATGGGCACAGTGAGGGGGACCTCAGCACAGGGCTCCCAGGGTGCTAGGCACAGGAGGTGAGATGGCTGTGAGCATGGGGTGGCTGGCGAGGCTCAGACCCAGGTGGGGGCTGTGTCCCACAGTGGTTTTGCTGCACTCTCTGCCTGGGCCTCACAGCTCATGCCCAGGGAGAGGGCTCTGATGTCCACAGAGACCCCTGTAGACAAGCAGAGGCCCCAACTGGGACCCCTGAAGATCTCTTGTCCCTTCTGTCCCCAGATAAGACCATCCCAGTGCCACCTCCCTGTGGTCTCTGCTCTGCCCCCACCCTAGGGCTGGGCCTGCCAGACCCACCCAGGACGCCGTACTCTGACAGGGAGCTGTTGCACACGGTGTAGGGGGCCTGGTCGGGCCAGAGGTAGTTCATGGGGACACATGTCCTCCGGTCAACTTCCTGGTCGTGGAGAACGTGGTGCCGGTGGCTGGGGAGAGATGGACCCAGGGTGGGATGGAGGAGAGATGGACTAGCACCTGTCCCAGAGCAGGAAAGCCAGCGGGGAGGGGGCAGGCAGGCCCCATCACTGTGTCAGAAACCTGCAGGGCCCTACAGCATGGGTATGGCCGGTCCCCTGGAAGGACGCCACGGCAGCCTGACCCCTCTGCACCTCCCCTGCCCGCCCCAGCCAGCACTGTCCACATGCCACGCTGAGGGTGTTGGAGCAAGACTCAAAGGTCACAGCACCTCCAGATCTCAGCTTCCTACCCTGCTGACCTCCCAGAAGCAAGGCAGAGCTGAGCACCTCCCTGCCCACCCTGCTGGCCCAAGCCTCTTTCGTGACGGGCAGTAACCATGGAACAGTATCCCAGCCTGGCACAGTAGGCACCACCAAGCAAACCCAAAGTCCTGGCAGGGACTTTAATACATCCCAGGGAGCAGAGTGGCTGCCCAGAGCTCTGGGTAGATGTGAAAAGAGGGCCTTCCCCAGAGGCCATACCACCATGACTTCGTAATGTGGTGCAAAGCCCCCTGCAGTTCCCATCTGGATCCCAACACTCAACAGGCGAGACAAGGATGGCCTGGCAGCAGTTTACCAAAAAATAAAAATAAAGGATTCTGAGGACCAGAGAGGGTCACAAGCCCAATGTTTGGTCACAGCTCCACCTACATCTGGGGTGGGGCTGGGACGATGGTAGGATGGGCTGCAAAGACCTCAGCCAAACCTGGGGACAGCAGTGCACAGCTAGGGGACAAGACCCAGAGCCCGCCTCACCTGAATGTGCCCCGCTCCACGTCCTGCCCACTGAGCCGAACGTGGATGCCCTCCTTCAGCAGGGAGCCAAAGGCCATGTACTCGGCCAGTGCCCAGTCCACCATCCGCTTCCGAGTCATGTCTGCCCGGCCGTGCAGGATGCGGGACAGGCCTGCAAGGAGGGAGGAGGGGAGGGAGGGAAGGAGGCCCTGAGGGGCTGGAGACTGGCTGGGACAGCTGAGGCAGGCACAGGCAGGCTGCAGGGGGTGAGGCTGGTGCAGGGACCTGACCACAGCCCCCAAAAGCACAGCAGCTGCTTGAGCTGGGCACCGTGCCCAGTCTGGGGCCTTACGCACCCCATATGTCCCTGCTTTCCAGAACAGGAGACCAAGGCTCAGAGAGGAGAAGCCATGCACTCAGCCTCACATGGCTAGAAGGACGCCTGATTCCTGTGACACGCAGTCTAGTGCTCACACACACATCATGAGCAGGTGCCCAGAAGCCCCAGCTCCCATGTGCATTTTGCAGGGTTCCCCCTGGAGCTACTCTAGACACTGGATCCCTGAACTTCCCAGGCAGAACCAAGTGGCACAGCTGAGGGAGCAGCTGGCAACCACACCACAGCCAGGCTTGGCAGACTCAGTGGAGGGGCTGGGGTGCCCTTGTCCCTGCAAGTCCTGCCAGGCCCCGATGCCCTCCACAGAAGCCCTGCTCCCCTGCCCAGCTCAGGGAGACCCCAGAAACTGTGTCCCTGGCACCCAGGTGGGCCACAGCACCCACATCTCCACTGAGAGGAGCCACGATCACAGGCACCTGGGCACACAAGGCTTCAAGATCTGAGCCCAGCATCGAGAGGCTGAACAGGGACACACTATGCTGCCTTTCTTGGTGTCTAACCAATCTCCCTACAGGGACAGAGTCAGATCTGAGGTCATAGCTACACTAGAACCACAGAGCAACCTCACCCGTGTGGATCTTAAAGTCCTCCAGGGGCACAGAGCTGGCCACGGTGCCAATGTGGGTCAGCACGTCCTCAGGGATGCCTGTGGTGGGGCAGGTCATGCTCTTGGGTTCCCCATCCACATTGAAGAAGCCTGGTGGGGACACAGAGAGACTGTCCACATGGGGTGGCAGGACTCTTGATGCTCTGGACAGGACTGAGGGCTGCAGCTTCCATACCCTGGCGTTTGGGTCCACCCCTGGATCTACAACAGCTGGGCAGTCCCATCACACTGCTCCCGGACTAGAGGACCCAGTTATTCATGGTGCCCCAAGGCCATTGTCCCTTCGCCCTGCCTGCAGGAGGGACCCATGCTGGGTGGTAACTACTCCTCTGCATCTCCCACTCACCAGGCCAGGGGGAGTCCAGCCAGTGCTTTATGTGCAGGATCTTCTTGTCCTTGGACCTGCCGTATGCCTCCTCGCAGATCCGGTCATATTTGGCGATTTCTTCCTGTGATGGGGACACAGGCACAGATGGAGGCATTGATGCCTAGGCAGCCGCAGGTTCAGCTGTTCAGACCCACAGGCCTAGAGCTCTCTCTCTTCCTGCTTGTAGGGACCTTGTGGCTACAGTGCAGAGCTCACACGCCCCTTGCACGTATCCAAGGACTGGTGCCTATCAGCTGCTGCCTGAAGCTGGTGTCCCCGCCACCTGTGGCTGCCGTGTCCCACCCAGCTGCAATCACACCCTAAGTGCTCTGCCCCTTTGATACCTGAGGATGCTCAGGAAAAAGGACCGTATCAGCTACTTCTCTAAACCTACCACCAGCCCACAGCCCCACACCCACCCACCTCGAACTCCTGCAGGGTGACGGTGCCCTCGGCGATGAGCTTGTCGGCGTATTTCTTCAGCACAGGCACCTGCCTGTGGATCTGCTTGTACATGAGTGGCTGCGTGAACATGGGCTCATCCATCTCGTTGTGGCCACGCCGACGGTAACAGACCTGCAGGGTGCTACGGGCTCAGACTCAAGTCTCTCTGCACCCAGCAGCGGCCTCCACCCTCCACCACCGAAGGACCACTCCTCCTTGGCACCAATGCCTCTTGGCACCAATGCCTTGGCACTGAACTTCCCACCTAAAAGGCTTGGCACAGCAGGGACAGTGACTCATTCCTGCCCAGCCTCAGCCCCCGACCCACCAGGTCCACGACGACATCCTTGTTGAAGGTGTTCCTCCACTCAGCTGCCACGCTGCAGACATAGATCACAGCCTCAGGGTCATCGGCATTCACGTGGAAGATGGGTGCATTGACCACTCGGGCCACATCAGTGGGGTATGGTGAGGAGCGGGCCATCCGGGGATCTGTGGTGAAGCCAATCTGTGGGAGCAGAACCAGCAACCTCTATCTACTTTGTTTTTGAGACAGCCTGGTCCTGAACTCCCAGGCTTGAGCAATCCTTCTGCCTCAGTCTCCTGAGCACTGGGAGAGCAGGTGCACACCTCCACACCTGCCCTTCCTGTTGACTTCACACCAGACAGTGCCAGACTCAGTGACTGGACAGTTCGAGGAGCCTGGGGGCTCACAGGGACAGCAAGGGAGAGCAGGGATGCCCCACAGCCAGCCAGAACACCAGTAGCTGTGCTGCTCCTCTCCTGCTGGCCACTTCTCCAGATGGCACTGAGAACACGGCCTGGCAAACCTCTGCACTAGCCAGCGAGGCAGACACCCCAGGTGAGGTCTGTCTACCCCAAAGCCTCAGTGTTCTCATCTAGGAGAAGGCTCGTGAAACCCCTGCCTCAGGGGGCTACTCAAGGAGGAGTGACAGGGCAGTGCCAAGACAGCCACTGATGCTGTGATTCCTGGGCTCTCGCCTGAGCTGGTATTAACTGCAGCAGCCTCTGTGCCAGGGCACGTGGTGCTGGATCTCAACCACTCCCCCAGGTTAACTGCACAGCTAGGCTCCATGCCTGTTACCTTGTCCACACCTTCTCCGTGCTACATGCTTGACCCTGTGCACCTGTGGGATCGGGCCTAGGACTCTGTCAGGTATAGGAACAGGGGCCACCCAAGTCTCTCCTGTGAGGGAATTCTGTGCAGGCAGCTGTGACACCACATTGGCTGGGAAATGGGATAATGAGCCTGTGAAAGCTGTGCACAGGCTCCGTTCTTCTCCTCAATGTTTTGGTCCACAGTTGGTTGAGTCTATAGATATGGAGAGAACTGCATATGTGTGCATATGCACACACTTGTATGTATATATCCATACATCTATGCACACGTGTACATTCCATACATATACATGTAAAGCGCCTGCCAATTTCACAGACCAGGGCCCGTGGTGAGGTCCGCTGCTCTGCCTGAGGTCACAGACTGGCAGAGGAGTGGGGAGAGGGGGGTGACCGAGCTGTTCCCCCTCTGCCACCTACTGTCAGGATGAACACAAAGCTTGGCACTCACCTGGTTGTTGACGACGACGTGCACGGTGCCATTGGTGGTGTAGGAGGGCAGGTCGCTCAGGTGGAAGGTCTCGTAGACTACGCCCTGGCCAGCAAAGGCCGCATCCCCGTGCACCAGGATGGACATGACCTACAGGGCAGGATGTGAGCCGACAGGGCCCGGTGCTGCTGCCATCATGCCCCCTCCACCCTGTGACCCAGGTCCAGCCCCCCGTGGGCCAGCTTTGCAGAGCACAGCCCCACAGCACGCAGCTTCCCAGCACCCAACAGCCCAGGGCCCAGCACAACCCTGGATACAGGAGCGCACCTTCCTGCCCTGGGTGTCCCCGCGGTAGAACTGCTCTGCCTTCGTCTTCCCCTGAACCACAGGGTCCACGGCTTCCAGGTGGGAGGGGTTGGCCACCAGGGACAGGGTGATGTTCCTGTTAGTGACGCGGTTGATCCTCTCGTGGTACATGCCCAGGTGGTACTTCACGTCCCCAGAGCCCTGAGGACAGAGGAGGGGTGGGGTGGGCCCCTCCACTCCTCCACCAGACAGGAAATGACCAAAGACACCCAGGCCCACCCCAGGCTGGCTCTCTCTCGCTTCTGACCCTACTGAAGGCTGTGCTGTCCCTGCCCCACCTCTCCTGGTCACACTGCCCCACTGCCACATTGCCTCTCTGGCTGGCCTAAGGAGGGAAGAGGCCATGAGCTTTGAACCCATCAGAGACCCCTCTGCATCAGCAACCTCTAACCTCAGTGAGACTGACTGAGGCATGGAAGCCAACACACCAGGAGAAAGGGCTGACCAGCGTCAGTGACCACAAGGAGAGGTGGGGCCTCAGACTTGTGTTAAACCAGGCTGTGGGAGAACACCATGGCTACTTAAGTGTGGTGGTGCATACCTGTCATCCCAGCACTCTGGGAGGCTGAGGTAGGAAGATCAAAAGTTAGAAGTCAGCATGGGAAAGTTAGTGAGGCTATCCCAAAATTCAAAAATGTTATAAAGGGCTGATGATGTAGCTCAGTACAAAGGTCCTGGCTTCAGTTCCCAGTACTACAAAGAAAAGACCTGGACTGGATCCCTACCTCACTCCTCACACCAAAATATCAAAGCCACAGTAGTACAGGAGTAAAACAAGACATATTTCATGTCTGGGAGGGAAAGTAAGGAAGGGAAGGCTTATTTTCTGAACAATATTCAAAGCCCCAAAACTATAAGAACCAAGCCAGCTGAAGTGGAATACATTTGTCATGAGTGGAGGAGGCCAATGCAGACACAGCACGGGGGGATGGGACTCAAACTGAGGAAATCATTAATAAGACAAACACAGCAAAGGGTTAATAGCCCCTGTACGCAAAATGCTTTTGCAGATCGGTAAGATTAAAGCCCCCAAACCCCTGGGAAAATGAGCAAAAATCACAAAGGAGAATTTACAGAGCAAGAATACAAATGACAGAAACATGTGAGCACTGTTAAAACAAGGTCATTCTCACGCCCATCACACTGGCAAGGCAGGAGGATGAGGCAGGTCAGGGAAGGTGGACTGTGATGAGGGAGCTCCCGCAGGGCCACCCAGCAAGCACGGTCAGTCTCACATGCGGTGCGCTGTGCCCTTGCAGGGGCAGCTCCACACATGCACAGGACAGTGAGATGCCAGAGCCAAGTGCGTGGGGTGACTCTCAGGCTGCCTATAGACCAGGCTGTGCCAGGCAAGAGCACTGTGTCCACACTGCCCAGCGCCACAGACTGGACACTCAGGAGAAGACACAGCGCTAAGGGCAAAGAGACAGAACCACCACAGAGAGTAGGGACCGGCAGGACTCTGGACGTGTGGCTTGCACCATGTGAGCAGTCAGGAGCAGGAGCACTGGAAGGCGAGTCCTTGGCTGAGCAAGGGGCATGGGAAGTGACCTCCCAGGGGTCCTTCTGGCTGGGGGACAGGACTGTGGGCCAGGGGCTCATGACACAAGGTAAAATGAGGGGGGTTTCTGGCAGGCCCTTGCATCTCTCTAGGCTTCAGTTTCCCCATAAGGCCCAAGGGCCCTCTTGGCTATCACAGACATCAGCCGTTGTTCCCCAAAGCATTGGAGACCTCACACAAGCCTCCATCCACCCCGCCCCCACTGTCCCTTGTTCACATCTGTCCACATCTGGGTCTGTCTCAGTCCGGGAGCTCCCAGCCCAGACTCTTCCCACCCACCTCCCAAACATGGGGCCCTCTGGGGACACCGGGACCTGGGTGTGGCACCCACCTCATCCGCAGCCTCCAGCTTGGGGTCAAACTGGCAGAAGATTTGCTCCAGGTCCTTTCGGATCACATTGGCCAGCACGTTCAGCCTGCCCCTGGGACCAGAGGCCTGGGCTCTCACCAGCACTGAGGCCGCTACCACCGCAGCTGTGCTGCCCCTCTCCCTGCCCGCCTGGACCATCAGAGACAGACGGGTGCTCCGGGCCCTCACATCCTGCCCTGACCTCTAGGTGTGGGAGTCCCGCCAGCTCCTCTACCCGCACACTGGTGACACAGGAGGCCCTGCGGGATGCATGGCAGGTGCCCACTCATTCCCCACCAAGACACTGAACTCACTCAGGACCTTGGTGCCTCCCCAATAACACAGAGCAGGCTGGAGCTGCAAGCAAACCTGTCGGACAGCTGAGGCGGGCACTGGAGTACAGGGATTCTCCAGCCCAGTCTGAATTTCATACCAGCACTCTGAATTCAGAGGCATGGAGCCCTTGGCTCACCTCCAGAGAACCCCCTCTAGAGACACCAATGGGGCCACTTTCCCAGGCCCTGCCCCCACTTCCCTGGGAGGTGTCCTCCACATCTCCCTGACTGTAGGGAACCCAGCCTGGTACAGATGTCCAGGGCAACTAAAGCTCACCCCTCACAGCCCAGCAGCCCTGGTGGACCCCCAGCCCCTACAGGAGGGGCACCCTGCTTTGGGTGGGCCTCTCCCTATCCTGGGGTAGGGGGAGGCTTCTGGAGCCTGACGCATACCCCTCAACCTTCTGGGCACAGCACTCCTGGCACAGCACAGTCCTGGGTTTCCGTGCCCACCCAGAGGCCCAGACCCACGCAGGACAGCTGTCTGTCCCCAGAGCCCGCCCCAGTGAGCATTTGGCTGACCACACCACCAGGGGCCCACCTCTCCTGCTGTGATACCAGCCCGAGACCTGCAGTCTTATGTGCCTGTGCCACCTCGGGCTGCGGGCTGGCTCTGCCTGGCCTTGCCCAGACACTGGGCACATCCAGCCACTCAAAGCACAGGGACTGTGACATGATGGAGAACCCTGCCCCTGGCAGGCCAGCCATAGGACAGGGCCCCAGACACCATGCATCCGGATACCCCTACAGCCATGCAGTTCTGGGCAAGCCCAGCCACGGGTAAGTCCTACAGCCTTGTCCCTGGACTCCTGTCCTGGGCTGGCTGGTGAGCAGGCCCTCCAGGCCTCACCATGGTCCAGGGAAACATGCAATTGGACCAGCACTGACACAGAACCCTCGGCTCACCTCCAGAAACCCCCTCCAGGGATGCCAATGAGGCCACCTTCCAGGTGCCTTCCCTCACTTCCCTGGGAGATGTTCTCCACATCTCCCTGAGCACAGCGAAGCCAGGAAGCACAGTGCTTCCCTTTCTGAAACCCGGCCCTTCCAGGGGGCAGTGGCAACTTGGCCAGAGGAAAGGGAAGCCCAGAGAACCTAGTGATCACTGGCTTCCTATGACTGCAAAGTACCTGGCTCTTTCTCAAATGAGCAGGCAGGGCCTGGGGACCTCGAGAACCTGCCAGGGCACTGCCTGTACCCCAAAGTCCCACCAACACCCTATCCTGATTTCCATTTAGGAGAGAGGCATAACCCTACCTGTGTGGCATGCCCAGGATGACATTCTCGATCCCCATCTCACTCGATTTGTCAATGATGGTCTTGAGGGCGGGGATCATGACTTCACAGCCCTCCAGGCCAAACCTCTTCTCTGAGGACCACTTCCGGGCCAGGAAGTCTTCAAACCTGTGGGTGGCGGGAGGCCCCAGGGAGGGCTGCTTACAAGCAACAGGAGCTGGATGGATGCCCAGGACTGAGGAAGAGCCTCATCACCTCCTCCCTCAGAGTTCAGGCCCCATTCTGGACACCACATGGCTCCTACTCAGCGAGGAGCCCATGGTCAGCACAGAGACCTCTGCCCACCCGCTTCTCATATGCCCCTCTCTGCCCTTCCCACCCAACTTTTCCAACAGAACACCATCCCCCTGCTCCTGGCCTCCACCCTCTACCCACATTGCAGAGGGCGCTCGCCAAGCTCCCAAGACCCCGCCCAGCAGAGTCCAAAGTCCAGCACACATCTCACTGCCCAAGAACACCCTGTACCCTGTACGCTACAGTCCAGGAAGAGCCAGCTTCAGAGCCCTCAGAGGGCGGAGGAACCACCACTACCACCAGGGGGCGCCCACACTCTGCACCAGGGCAACTTCTTACCCAAACATCTCACAGCCACATCCTGCTACTCCCACCCTCACTCAGTCCCCTGCTGCTGTGTTTTCCGAGGGTCCCACCCCTGTCCACCTGCCTGGCTGTGCCCCAGGCCAGCTGAGTGGCGCTGACCTCATGGAGCGCACCAGCCGGGCCAACAGGGTCCGCTTCTCCTCGCTGGAGAACTGCATCACTCCGGGGGTCTCAAACTTCTGCCGGATCCACTGGCACTGCTCCACATCGTTGATGAACATAAACTCCAAGCCGATGTGCTGGCAGTAGGTGCTCTAGGGGACAGCAGCCAGGAAAAGAGTGAGCAGGCCTGGCTCCAGACCAGGAAGGGAGTGCTCATCCCACCCACAAGCTCCAGGGCCCCGGCTGACCTCCAGCCGCCGGATGATCTCCCGCAGCGACAGTGTGCTTTCAGAGCCCCCAATGAAGGTGGTCGTGGGCAGTTGGAACTCCTTGTCCAGGTCTGCCTCCCGCAGGTCGTAGAAGGCTGGGGAAGGAGTCCCAGGCAGCAGGGAGGGAGAAAGAAAGGGGGCCAGGCCCCGGTGGATGGCATCCCTGGACCTCCCAAGGGCCCCTTCGGTCCCCTCCCTCCACACTCAGCCTGGAATGCAGAGGTGAGGGTCAGTCCACCTGCCACCAGGCGGGGGCCTGGACAACCTGGTGCCCTGCCTGGGGACATGGGAAGACTTCCCCACCAAAGTCACCATGGGCTAAAGCTGTCCTCTGGGCCCAGGAACCCCACTGGGTCACCTTTGCCGGCTAACTCTGGAGTTGCCAGGTCACAGGGAAAGGGCCCAGCTCTCACCCAATTTATCGATGGTTGTGATCAAGTCAGAGGGCACGAAGGAGTCCAGGTCTGCATCCAGAATGCCCAGGGGGTCCAGCTGAGCCACATGGTGGCCCCGGATCTAGGGAGGAGGGTAAAGGGCAAGGCCACGCTGGGTCCCCACTGAACAAGCCTTCCTGCCCCTCATTTCCAGCTTCAGAATGTAAAGTTTCATACATCTCACTGTGCTGCTGCCAAGGAGACCCTAGTCATTGCCACCAAGGAGGCAGGAGCTCACCCCAGTTTCACAGTGTACCATGAAGCTGTGTGTGGTGGTGCACACCTGTAATGCCAACTACTGGGGAGGCTGAGGCAGGAGGATCACAAGTCCACACCTGAGAAACTTAAGCAGGCCCTGTCTCTAAATAATAATGGTGATGATAATAATAATAGTAATAATTTTTAAAGTTTCAAGGATCCAGCTCTGTGGTACAGCACTTGCTAGCATGTGCAAGGCTCTGGTCCCATCCCTAGAAAAAGACCTACAGCAAAGGTATGCGGTGCTGCACTGCAGTCCTGTTAGTAATGTTCTAGGAACTTCCCCTGTGTCCACTAACAGGACCCAGCATACAGGTAAGAGGAACACAGCCTGAGGAGGTGGGACAGAGCTGTTAAAGGAACGAGGAAAGGCCCCACCCCTACATGAGGCAGGTTCCACAAGATACTGTTACCCGAACGCAAATTCTAGGATAGCACGTACAGTGAATCACCTTTATCGAAGAAGGTAGAGACACAAGGAAATATGTGTTTGTACATGCACAAGTAAGTATCCACACTGGAGTAAGTCCCAAAATAACAATTATTAAAGTTAGGGATGGAACAGGAAAGGAGGAGGGCTAGAAGTCTGTATTTTAAGAATGCATCCTGCTTTCAAGATTACCTTAGAACCTTATTCATATTTTAAATTGTTATAAAATAAAGTTTTAGACTTGAAAGTAAGACAAAACAAAGTTGAGTAAGTACGTCCATGATGCAGCACAGATACAGGGAGAACTATTCCAAATGGTTACTGCCATATTCTCTAAAGACACAGAACTTCAGGGGAAACTTCATAAAATCTTTCTTTTATCAGTCTGTAGTGACAGCGTTAGACTTGTTATCTGAAGACTGTTGCATGAGGTTTGTGGGGAAATCAAATAAACCACTGGGCTGGCATCCTGGAGGACATCTATCTTGGGCATCTTTGAAAGGAGATGTTTCCATAAGATTGATGAAGTCAAAGATGAAACCCAAGTCCTGTGTTTGCAACACAGAGTCCCATTGGCATAAATCCATAACATTTGCCATCTTTCTAAAAAAAATTCACATTTGCTTCCTCTGACCACTGAAACGACCAAACCAAGAGGGTGAATATTCTCAGTGCTCCCTAGGGACCTGGGTGGCTCTGGCTGAGCAGAAGCATGTGAGATGAACATGGGGCATTTGTCATAGCAGGGGCCACAGGAGAGCTCAACACGCAGTGCTGAGAATAGGGATATGTATAGCTGATGATATACACGATGTCTGCAAGCAGACTGAAACTCATCAAATACATTCGCGTGACACTAAAAAGAAAAAAGGCTTCTTTAGGCACTTATGAAGGATGAGTTTGAATGTTAGTCAAGAAGAGGAAATACTAAGCATGATCCCACCCTTCCTATACAACAAGCACCTCAGGATAAATGAGTGACAATGTGTTGTTAGGAGTGAGCAGTGTTGTTATGGTTTGTGTCTGCATGTCCCCCCAAATCCTCATGTGGTCATGGGGCGGGCTTCTAGCTTTTTGATTGATCCATAATCCAATGCTGGGATTATGGGTGTGAGTGCTACACCTACCCTGGGGCAGAGAGTTTGCATATGTAAGGGAGAGAAAGAGGCTGCTTGCCGCCACTCCTCCTTTTTGCTCTTTTTGCTCTGCTGTCTTCTGCTGCCATGAATGGTTGTCCTCTGTCATGTGCCACTCTGCCTTGGAGCCAGCCAAGTATGAACATCCACCAACTGTGAGCTAAATAAACCTTTCCTTCCTTAATTTTGGGCATTGGGTATTTTGTCTCAGCAACAAGAGAAAAGTAACCAAGACAAGTGTTTAATAAACAAAGAAGAGAGAAGGACATCCTCCCTTCTGCAAGCCCCCAGGAAAAGTGATTGTATTATCCATAGCTGCTCACTGCCCAAGTCCCATTTGGAGGGGAAATCCAATCTATACCAGATCAAGCCTTGAGATCTAACTATCAATTTCTAGAAATTACATGGGACAAAGGGACAGGTGAAATGACACCATCAGGATACCATCAGCAAAACAGATCCAAGAAAACTCTATATACAAACAACCTGGTTTCTTCTGCAAAAACTGGCAAAGAACACAGGAAGGAACAGAGAGGACCCTGGAGAGGACATGAGACTACACAGTGACATCAATGACTGCAGCTAGTGAGCTCATTCGGCTTGTGTTTCAAATAAGCACTAAAAGGAAATCATAAGGCAAAAGTCAGCTGAGGGAAGAAAATAGTGGGAGGCTGAGGCAGGAGAATCTTAAGTAAAGGTCAGCCAGAGCAACTTAGCAAGACCATTATCTCAAAATAAAATAGAAAGGGTTGGGGTGCTGTTCAGTGGGGGTTCCATTCCTAGTATCCCCCAAGACAAAAGGCAACACGAGTATCATCTGCACATCTGATGATGTCAAGGACTATTGCTATTGTTTTTTGATGTGATATGCTATGACATGCAATCATGGCAGGCTTGCATTTCTTAGAAATATCCCATGAGTAACTGGCAGGACATCTGGGCGGGTGAATGAGGGCCAACAGGGAGGGAAGAAAACAAGAAGCCCTGTGCTGACGCATGGCAGCTTGCGATGCTGCCCTCTGCCTTCTGTAAGTCTGCAATCAACTAGGCAACATTTGCTTCTCAATGCAGCCTGCAGGGGGGTCAGACCAGAACTTGATCCCCCCAGTTCCTTCTCTACCTTGAATAGGCTTCTTTGCTCCTATGATACTGGGAATTGAACCCTGGAGCTTAGCCCTGAGCCCAAGCCCTTAGGGTCTCACTAAGTCCACTAAGTTACCCAAGCTGGATTGAACTTGCAGGCTTTCTGCCTCAGGGTTTAGGCAGACTTTCACAGGCAAGGACACAGCAGGAATCCCTGACTCCAGAGACCACTCTGGGGCTTGGTCTGGGCAAAATAAAAGCCAGGAACCACTGTGGAGTCAAGCTCTGTGCTACGGAAGGCCCCAGGAAGCACCCTGAATGTCATGCTCCACACTTAACACACGGTTCCTCGTCCTCCCTGGTCAAAGCTAGCCTTAGAGTATACCAGCCCTGTCCGCCCAGAGTGAGCAGTCTAGGGGCCAAAACAGATCCCAAGGAGAGGTTATTGGGAGCCAGTTTTCCACTGTGTGTCCCTCCAGATCCTTAGGGAATGGTGTGTGCAAGACCACAGGAGACAACCACAGCCACAGATCAGCACACACAACACCTGGGGCGGGGGTGAGAAGTACTCCAGATGGGGACTGCCAAAGCAGGCAGAGCAGCGGGGCCAGGGGCATGCGATGACAGACCCAAGGAGGGCCCTCTGGGCAGACGGTGCTGGCTCACCTGGTAGGCCCGGATGAGGGACTGCACGGCCAGGTGGTCCTCCACCAACTTGCTGGTTGTGGTCCGTCCGGAAGGCACGGGCCTGCCCTCAGGGGCGGCACGCGGGGCCTCCTCGCCGGCTTTCCGGAAGAAGCTGTCCCAGGACTGGGTGGGGCAGAAGCAAGGAGCAGCCCGCTCAGGGCCCAGGAGGAAGTCGTGTGGCCCAGGCTGGCATCCTTCGCTATTCCCTGGGGACCTCACCACCCAGAGCCAGCTCTGCTCAGGCCATGGCTTGGTGTGGAGGTTGAGGGGCAGATGAGCATGGTTCAAGAGATTCTGCTGTGACAGGGGCTGCTGTGGGTCACGGTGGGCCTTGGAGGAGGCACCGTGGCAGGCGGCCCCACGACATGCTCAGTGCCCACGTCTTCCGCACCAGCAACTCTGCCACCAGTCATTTACCCCACAGATGTGCTTACACAGTGTGCCCAGATGTGCACACAAGGATGTTTCCTGCAGGGCTGTTTGTAAAAGCACCAGGGTAGAACCACTTAAAGGACTATCAAGAGGAGGCTGGCTGCACAAATGCAGCACACATCTGCAATCTGGACTTCCACGCATCTTAAAAGATCAATGGCCAGGTTCACTTCTGGGGATGTGGGTGCTGCCAGGGGTGCTGTGAAGGCAGCAAGGCAGGGGAAGGGGTGTGCAGAGGCACAAGCAGAGGTGCACACGTGAGCACTGCTGTGCTCGGAGGTGTGAAAGTGCTCTCCCCTGCTCACTCCATCTGGTGCCAGCAGAAACAGGCAGAGCAACCCCCATGGAGAGCAACCTGGCAGCACCCATTGAATGACACACAGGGGCTCCCTTCCTCCCCGGAATCTGCTACACACAGTTGCAGGTGTGGAGATGACACCAGGGGTAGCAGCAAACAGGATGCCTGTCCCAGGGGGCTGGGATAGCACACCATGCAGTGGAATACTACACAGCTGGGGAAAAGAACCACAGGGCTCTTTACATACTGGCATGGAGCAAGCTGGGGGGATAGACTGCCCAACAAAAAAGGGAGGAGCAAAACAGTACTGGTTCATGTTACTTTTGTGTAAGAGGGGAAATCCAGGTTTTTTGCAATAAGTTCATTTAAAGAAAGCCAGAGACAGAGGAGAAAGTAAGAGTAAACTGGAGGCCAGGTGCGGTCTGAGCAGCTGGGGTGGGTTTGAAGGAGCCTTCGGGCTTTTCCTACTTAGGGTTTGGGTCACATGACTGCAGAGTGTGTGGCAATTTCAGTTTTTCCCCTGTGGTCTGATCTAATGTTGTAACCATCAGCAGGCGTTTACTCCACCAGATCTTGTAGCTATAAGCAGTAGAGGCCCTCAGGCCAAACGAGAGGCATCTGGGGACAGCCAGGCCTAAGAGTGGGGCAGGGGGCTCATCCAGGGGAGCACGGCACTGTCAGGACTGCCTGGCACCAGCTGGTTCATCAGCAGAGGCAGGAAGCTGTACTCTGGATATGAGGATGAGGCTTCTCTCAACAAGGACTGCTGGCATGAGGTGAAGGCGCCGCCCTAGCTCTCCCCACAGGCATTGCTGTGTCCCCTTTCCCACCCTCGGGGTGGCGCACTGACCTTGTGCACACTCTGTGGGTTTTCCAACCAGGCCGAGTACATCGCCTCCATGTAACTGGAGCTGCCTCCGCCCAGGCCACTGGGGAAGGCGGCTGGGGGCCCAGAGGATCTGCTGCGCCAGTTCCTCTCCGAGATGCCCCGTGTGGCCAGGAGCCCCGTGGCCTGCACCCTAAGCCGGGACGGCAGCAGCCTCAGCTGGCTCATCCTAGACAAGAAGGAGGGGGGATAAATCACGGGCCCAGGATCAAGGAGGCCCTGACCACCACATGCCCCTCATCAGCTGCTGGAATCCCTGCACTCAGCCAGGACAACTTCCCCCTCTCCTGGTCACTGCACAGGGGAGGGCAGAGTAGTGTGAACCCCGAGCCCCAACCCTGCTCCCTGCCAGCTGATCTCAGAAGCCTGAGGCAGAGAAACCCACCACACAGGCAGGCCCTGCTGCAGGGAGTGCGCAGCTTAGTCTCAAAGTGGGCAGGCAGCCTGCCACCCTCGACCTCGGGCAGGGAGTCCCACAGGCACTGGGGGTGCCGTACAGTCAGGAAAAGGTAGAAGAAAGGCATCTGGGAAGCAAAGGGGCAGCGGGATGGGGGGACAGAGATGTACTATCTCAGAAGACACCCCGCAGGGCTGGGTCTTCAGTCAGTGTGATAAAGGCTGCTGACACAGGCTCTGCTATACCCACTTCTCAGAGAGGACCTAGGCTTGGAGGAGTGGCAGAGGGCAGAATCAAAGGCCACCTGGTGCCCAGCCTGGTTCTCTGCCAGAGCTGTCTTCTCTGGTCTGGACCCTGCCCAGGCCTCATGCTCCTGAAAAATGCCACTTGGGGACCAGAGCCCTTCAGCAATGGGCTTTCGGTAGTGGGGCTGCCTCCTCCCCCGAGAGAACAGGAGTTGTAAGGGCCTCCTTGGACCCTCCCCACACAGGCAGACTGGAGGTTCTCTTAGGCTCCTACTGTCCTGTGCAGAGTAGGAGCCCTGCCCTTACATTCTTCACCCTCAGCCATAAGTCACAGTCTGGTCCTACTGATCTCTGGCCAGTGCCCTTCTGCTTGGGGACCTGTGGCCAGTGACTTAGGTACAGCCCCACCAGGGGCTACACTGGCCCCTCCAGAGGGAGAAGCCTGCTGCCCCTTCCACACAGGAATGGCTGGGTAACCCAGAATATTTGCATTCTGGCGCAACTGGCTTCCAGTCCTGCCCAAGCCTGGCCCTGCGCCAATGCCCCTGGCAAAGGATGTCCTGCCCACGAGTCACCTCCCCACCCTGCAGCCCACAGCTCCTCACAGGGCAGGGTGTGGCCCTGCCCTGTCCTGGAAACTCACTTGTGAGCCAGAGGGCAGGGGGTCTCCTAACCAAGGAAGGGAGGCTCCTCCAGCAGGCAGCAGCAAGTCTGAACAGAGGAAAAGGAAAACTATGGCATATTCCACCACAGGGAGGGAGGAGGCGGGGTCAGTGGGATTTAGTTCCAAATGCCCCAAACATCCCCTGCTTCTGCTCAGCCCCACCAGCCAGACTGGTCAGGGCCTGAGAAGAGGGCCACCTGGGGCTGGCTGTCCCCAGAGCAGCAGCTCTACAAAGGCTTCATGTGGGGTCTAGGGTCTGAGCTGAGGTCGCAAATCCAAGGCTGCACCAGCACTGCTAGTCACTGTGAGCAGGAGCCCCTGGACTGGACATCACAGAAGCCCAATCAGGAGGCTCTCCCATCCGAGGCCACAAGGGAGCACTGATTATGGAGTAGTCTGTGTCACCAGATCCCCTCCACATCTCACTAGTGCCAGCCCCACTTATAAACAGGGAGACCAAGGCAGAGGAGGCTCAGCTACAGTGACAGGTGGCAGGGATCTGTGTGGTTTCGGGGCCTGTGTCTTCCCCACCTCAGAGTCCAGATGTGAGCCCAGATTCCGCAGGGGGCACTGCCCTTTCCGCCCTGCAGCTCCCCCTGCAAGCCCATCCCCCAGGGGAGCGGGACAATTCAGGACAGGCAAGGACAGAGTACGGCTGTGTCCGGCCCAGGCCAGGGCAGGAACACCATGTTTTACAAACACTGAGTGGCCTGGGGTAGTCTCTGGTCACTATCGTGGCCTTCACCCAGTATGGCAGGCAGGGAGCCAGCCCGCCAGGCTTCTTCTCCCGCCACCATCCCTTAGGGGTTTGGGGAGCCAGGGGTCGGGAGCGTTCAGTCCTGCAGCCAGGTCCTGTCCATACTGTCCACAGGACCAGCACACAGGATGCTCTGGGCAGCTCCTGGAAGTGTCCTCAGATCAACTCCAGAAACACAGTTCAGAGCCCCTGCCAGGAAGCCACAGGGCCCTGTGCGGGGTGCAGGATGAGGTCAGCTTCTGGAGGTCAGGACAGGAGAGAACCCCGCCCAAGACCCCGCCGGCAACCAGAGGGGACACTCACCCAACCTGCTGTGACCCTGCGCATGGTCCAAGAGAAAGCAGATCCCCAGGAGGGGGTCAGGGAAGGGCACTTACTTCCTCCTCCGAGAGGAAGGGCCCGTGCTAAAGCCCAGAGGTGAGAAGCACAGGGAAGGACAGGGCGGCTCTGGGGCGCGCGTCCGCGGGGTGCCTGAGCGAGGCCGCATCCCAGTTCATCCTCTACACCTGCTGGGGCCTTGAGGTTACCGCTCCCCGGTGCCCTGATCTCCCTGAAGGTGGGAGCAGCACTTCCCACTCTAGCTGCGACCTCAAGCCAGTCCTGTCTCTTATACCTCAGTTTCCCCATTTGGGAGCAGAGACCATGGGTAAAGCGTCTACAAGATCCCAGACCCCTGAGCTGCCAGAATGCTCCGCAAGGTGCGCGACGCTGGGTGACCCCCGACCTTGGGGCGCCACTTCTCGGGCGGGGAAAAGCGGGGGTCCCCGGGAGGCTGCAGCGGCCAAGGACAGAGCCAAGGTCACACCTCTCCCAAACCCCATCCCCGGGACCCGCAGGGGGACGCGGTCAGGGGCGCCCGGACCGGAGGCGCGGAGCGGCTCGGGGGGTGGGGGGAAGAGGCGGCGCGGGCGGATCCGGTCGGGGTCCGCGTCCTTGTCCGCGTCCGCGTCCGGGTCCGGGTCCGGGTCCGAGTGGGAACCGGGCCGCCGCGCTCACCGTGGGCGGGGTCTGCGCAGCCCGCACTCCAGCGGCAGGTCTGGGGGCTGCGCGGAGCAGGCCCGCGCAGAGGCCCCAGTCACGTGACGGCCCGCTAGCGCGCACCCTCCCAGCGCGCAGTGACGTCTCGGGGACGCTGAGCCCCGCCCGCTCGGCGCTGTCCGCGGTGCTGACCTCCCCGCACCCTAGACGCCCAAAATGGGGCGGGTCCGGCCGGGTCGGGGGGCGGCACTCGGTCCCCTGCTTTGAGGTGGGCCCAGTGGAAAGTCCTGCGGTCTTGGGGTGTCTGGGAGAAAGGAGAAGCGCAGACCTTAAGCAGGGAACCCTGCGCCTGCCTGTTCTCCCAGCCGCGGCGCCGCGTCTCTTCTCACGCGTCTCGGGTGTGCGCATTCCACGGGGCAACTCTAAGACCCCATCCCCGTACGGAACCAGAGCTGGGTGTGCGAGTGTCTGGGTCGTGGGCATATGTCCACTCTGTTCAGCTGTCACAGCTTACATCCGCTGCAACAGTGTAAAATGATTTTAAATTCTCATTCCTGAGCGTTAGGTTTCTAATTTTTTTGAGGATAGCAGATACCCTGTCCTATGGTTGTGATGGGCATTTCTCCTATTACTAATGATTTGCGTCTCGTATTGTTTGTTAGTTCTAGGTTTTTAAATATATTTTTGTCAAAATTTCCTTTGAGATTTTTCTCATTTGTAAGCAGGAGCTCCTGGGATAGGACCTTGCTGCCCCTGTCTTTTAAATTGCCTTCAGTATGCCCCTGGCTTCCTGCAGCAGCCCCCTAATAGCCCACGATGATTCTAGGCCTGCACCCCTAGATCTCTGTCTCAACTCAGCAGCTGATTTTCTTGGTAAAACACCAAATCAGATCGTGTCACCCCTCTGCTCAAATCCCTCAAGTGACTTCCCAGGCAGTCAGTCTAAAAGTCAAAATCCTTACACCTGCATTTGAAGCTCATTTCCTCTTCTTGGACACTTCGAGCATACTACCACACATAGAGAAGACAAATAGGAAAGCAAACAAAAACATGTAATGTAATAGTACTTGTGTTGACTAAAGGCACATGTCCACAAAATTGCAATATACATTCCACAAGAACACATTCAGTTACCTATCACACATATTAATATGGTTGCCAGTGGGGAGGGTATTGGTGTCAGTTACCCACACCAATGCTTGTAAAGTGCCATCAGCAGGATTATGATTAACTCTACCTTCTGACCCTGCGATCTCCCAAAAGTTGTTTACTTGGAGACGTTTGGAGGTTCGTGTAGCCAAGGGCCACGCCTTGCTCATTTACCCATGTATTTGTCAGCACAGCCATGGGACATCTCATAATATTTTTAGTAAACATTTTTAGTATTTGTTGAATGAATGAATGAATGAATGAATGAATGAATAATTGAATAGTTGACTTGGGTCCTGAAGGATGATCAGTATCTGATGGGGCTGGGATGTAGCTCAGTAGTAGAGCACGTGTTTACCATTGTCCACCCTCTGGGCTCAACCTCCAGCACTAAACAAACAAACAAACAAAAGTTTGGCACAGAAAGGTAGGATTCATTGGGAATGCCTTGAGTGCAAGCACCCAAAATGCCCCAGCTTGCTTAAGCTAAAGGAAAGAGTGGATAGGAAGATGGCTCACAAGTCATCTCACAGGTCAGAGGAAGCTGAGGAAGTGCTCTCAGGGAGTAGCAGGGCTGAGCCACAGAAGAACTGTCTTTCTGAGGCTCTTGAGTTGTTCAAAATTCAAATTCCAGGAACTGAGAAACTGAGCGATATGCCTTGGCCAGAAGTGGGGAGAGGGACTCTGGAGTCACCTGCCTGCCCCAGACATGGACTCAAAGGCAGGGTGAGGGCACCAAGAGAGGTTGGGGTCAGTTCCAGGGGCTCAAAATTAGAGTGTGTTCCAATTGCCTGCAGTGGGAGATACACACAGCACAGCCACAGGCAGAGTAGCATGAAGGGTGCTAAGGTTCTGCCCAGAGACTGCAGGGGTAGGGGCTGGGAAATGTGATTGGGCTGTGTACACCAGGGTATAGGGTTTGGGCTTGTTGCAGCTCAGAAAATGATACCCCAAAGCTAAGGCCTTAAATACAGTTTCTCTTTGACCTTGTCCTGACCTCCTGTCCATGGCCCTCATGCTTCCTGAGACAAGTTGAAGAAACTAGAATTTCTCCTCCTCAGGTGAGGTCATGGAAACCAGATTTTCTTCTCCCAAATGCAGCCATAAAATGGAGGAAGACATGCTGTGGCCAAGGGGCCAAGAAGAGCTGAGCAGACAGGCTGTGCTGGTTTTCCCACTCTATTTCTAGTTACTCACAGCCTTTTTGTCTGATCCCATTTTGACACAGCTGTCCGGGCTTGATGGACCCTAAGTCTAAAAATGACAGCTTACCTTAAGTCTTCAGCCTGAAGGCTCCTCTGTCACACAAAACTGATCACATAAATGTGTTGTGTGTTTTCTCTTGCTGGCCTGCCCTTTGTTACAGGGATCTTGGCCTTGACTATGATGCGCAGAAGGGGACACCCACTTTTCCTGCCCTTACAGACTCTATCCAGTCAGCTGTGGCCCTTAGCAGTGTCTTAAACTGTGAACAGTCTGATCAGTTGGAGTTCTGGAATGATGTCTCTGGCAACTGAGGGAAGCTGGACTGGTAAAAAGGAAGACTGGAAACTATCCTGGTGTGAGGCCATAGTGCAGCAGCAGGAGAGACACGGATGAGGACAGATTAGAGACACATGTAAGAGTTGGGTCCACAGGCTTGTGGCTGAATGACGGAGTAATGGCAGGTCACAGGGTTCCAGCTTTATGACTGGGAAGCAGGATGCAGGTTGGAAGGACCAACAGAAAACTTTGCAGGTTAGAGCCATCGAGGAACTGGGTAATAATGATGCACTGACACAGAGCAGCACCCCAGCAAAGCAGAAGGCTTCAGAGCTTCCTGTCTGCTCACAGCAGTGCAGAGTCAGCCTCGGAGTCAGGAAAGGCCCTGCAGGGAAAGAGAGAGATGCAGGTCTGGAGGGAAGCTCAGTCACCAGTAAGGAACGTGGGGAGACAGCCAAGGACCAAAGCCACTGCTCCAGAGCTGTGGGGGTGAGGGCCTCCCAGCCTAATTGATGCTCTCCTAATTGCACTGATTAAAGCAAACATTTGGGGCAATCAAGGCTCCCATGGGGGTGGCTGCCATTCTTAGAAGCTTGAGAGGACTTGAAGTCATGGCAGGGAGCTTTGCAAAGATCTCTGGAAGTGGACATCTTTCTTCTCTTCCTGTGTGTGCGCGTGAGTGTGTGTGTGCGTGTGCATGCGTGCACGTGCACGCGTTTAGGGAGTGTCAGTGTGCAAGACTGTTATTCTAGTTGCACAGAATTTTAAAAATACAGGATGGCATACAGCAAATTCAAAAACCTCTTTCCGTCTTCTCTGGTGTCTTTATTATCTCTGTTGCTTCTCTTCTACTATCTCTGAATATCTCTATTATCAGATATTCTTTTAAGTTGGGTAAAAATTATATGCAATGTGATAAAAACCATGACTGTCTGAAAATCATTTTTAATTAATTACAATAATAGAAATATTCAGAGACTATCTGAAGGTGGAATGGAGGTTTCCAAATCTTGTTATTTTCCTTTAAAAGCTGGTGTGTACATTTTTACAAAGCTCTTTATATTTCCATACATATACTTGTACACATACACACTTAAGGAGACATAAAATGGATCACACTTGAATACAGTCCCACAATTTGCTTCTTTTTTTCCTTCTTGAAGAGCTTTATTTTAATCTCAGTACATGTAGAACCACCCATTATCTTTGATGAATATTGCCTTCATTGTAGGATGTGTGACTGTATTTTACTTCTTACTAAATGAACATTTACTTTTTTTACAAAAGAAAAGTTCTCCCATGTTATATTCTTTAGCATATGGACAAGTGTCTTTGAAAACATCGATTGCTGGAGGCTTAACATTGGGTAAAAATTATATGCAGTATGATCAAAAATTAAAATTAATTTTAATTTCTTACATCAAAAGACACATTGCCATTAATGAACCTCAGAAAACTCAAAATCCTCCCCTAACTTTAAACGCACTTGTCCCATCATTCTTGGTAATGTGCCCTTTACAGTGATAATTTTTAAAAATTTAAACACTCACCATGTCTTTGGATGACCTTTATACATGTTTTGTTGGGCATTTTGGTGACACAGAAGCTGAGGCAGGAGGCTCACAAGTTTGGGGCCAGACTAGGTAAAATTCTCCCTATCTCAAAATTAAAAAGTTTTTATAAAGAGCTGGGGATGTACCTCCATGGTAATGCACCACTGGATTGGAGCCCTAGTACCGTAAAACAAAACAAACAAAACCCTCACAATATTTTAGAATTTAATGTGCACAGTCTTCAGAAAGGTCAGTCTAGTTTATGATTCCCTGCTAGTGTTTGTGAGTTTCTACTTCTTTACTACCTTTGCCAAGGCTTGTTACTATCAGTCTTTTAATTTCTGCCAATCTAAGAGGTAAAAAGCCTCTTTTCTCTTTAGTTTGCATAAATGAATAAAGTTCAGAGTCTTATATGTGTATTATTTGTATTATTCTTCTGCCTAGTGATGGTCTTTGACCATCTTTTCTATTGGGTTATTTGCATTTTCATATGATTCATGTAAACTCTGTACATATCTGGATGAAGATATCATGTGTGTTATATATGTTACAGTTCTTCCTGCCTATTGCCTGTCATTTACTTTGTTCCTCGGAGCTTTGGCCAGAGAGGAGTTTATGCTTGGGATAGGCTGAACTGTATCCTCCTCCAGTTTCATACGGAAAGTCCAACCTACAGTATAAGTCACAGTGGAGCTGTATTTAGAAAGAAGGTCAGTAAAGAGAAAACTAAGTTAACAGGAGGCCTCTGGGGTGGCCCTCGTGCAGTGTGACTGGTGTCAGTGGCAGAGGAAGTTGGGACAGACCAGAGGGAGGCCCATGTGAGACGCAGGAAGAAGATGAATCTGTGTGAGCCAAGAACAGAGGTCTGGGGAAAACAGCCCTGCTGGTATCTTGATCTCAGACTTCTAGAGCCTGAGAAATAGCTTTCTGTTGTATCATTCTG